AAAAGAGAATGGTACTATAGGCATGAGAAATGAATCACAGGCATGAGACAAAAGGATTGATTTTATCATTATGCATAGTAAGTGACTGAATTATTCATTGACAATAGATTTACAGCTTTTGGTTAAAATCAGTTTCAATTTAAAATCTGATCACTTAATTTTGACAAAACTTTTTGGGACATAAGATTTTTCTGTCTCTCTAGACTTGCATATTTTGAACACATTTTTATATGAAATTATATAATTCGTGGTCCTTTTAATATTTTAAAAGTCATTCATGTTGTAGCATGCATTAGCATTTCATTCCTTTTGACTTCAGAATGATATCCTATTATGTGACTGAACCACATCATATTTATCTATCAACCAGTTGGTGAATAGCTTGGGTTAGTTCCTCCTTCTGGCTACAAATAATGTTGCTCTGAACATTCGTGTACAAATTTCTACGTGGATCTCTCTTTTTATTTCCCTTAAGTACATACCCAAGAGTGTAACAGCTAGATACTATGGTAATTTCAAGTTTAGTCATTTGAGGAATTGCTGGATTCCAAAGCAGTGGTACCATTTGCATTCCTATCCACAGTATGTGAGTGTTCCAACTTCTCCACATAATCTCCAACAAGCATTATCTGTATTTTTAAATAGTCATTTGAGTGTATATGAAATGGTATCTTGTGATTTTGATTTGCAGTTCCCTGATAGCTAATGATATTGAGCATCCTTTCATGAGCTTAGTGGTCATTTGCAGATCTTTGGAGAAATGACTATTCAGATTCTTCGCCCATTTTTAAACTAGTTTTTTAAAAATTATTTAGCCATAATAGTTCTTTATATATTCCAAGTACAAGTTGCTTATCAGACATATGATTTACAAAAATCATTCTTTGGGTTAGAGTTTTACTTTCTTGGCATTGTTCTTTGAAGTACAAAACTTTTGTACTTTTAGTTTTTAAGATATCCAGTGTATCTCTGTTTTCCTTTGATGTTCGTGTTTTGGTGTCATATGTAAGGAATTGTTATAGAGTTCAAACAAAATCACTCCTATTTTCCTCCTAAGAGATTTATAGTTGATTTAACTTTTATATTTGGATCTCTGATACATTTTAATTAATTTTGGTATATGGTATGAGGAATAGTCCAGCTTCATTCTTTGACAGGTACATCTCCATTTGTCCAAATATCATTTGTTGAAAAGACTAGTCTCAGCCTTTTCTCCCATTTAATTGCCTAAGCATGGAAACATAATTTCTAATCTTCTTAGCCCTAGTAGTGATGTTCCCTGTGTTCTTTTATTGTATGTTTTCCTTTGGAATATCAACTACTCTTTTAGTCCATTTTCTACTGCTATTACAGAATACCCATGACTGGTAGTTTATAAAAAATAGAGATTTATTTCTTACAGCTCTGGAAGCAGGGAGATCTGATATCTGACATCTAATGAAAACCCTCCTGTTGTGTCATCCCACGGCAGACAGTGGAAGGGAAAAAGGGCATGAGAGAATAGGAAAACAAGAAGGAGATGAACTCCAATTTTTAACAAGCCTATTGCACTATAACATGACATTAATCCATTCATGAGGACAAAGCCTTCATCACCTAATCACCACTTGTTAAATTTCATCTCCCAACGCTGGTAATTGTGTTTCCAGCACAGGAACTTTTGGAGACACATTCAAACTACAGCAACTGTCACCTGACTCTGGGTCCCTGACAATCACTTCTATGTGTCTGAAGTTGAAATCTGGATCCTGGGACCAATAGAGTTTTACTAATGTCTACACCCTGCTATGACGGTAGAACATAGTGGGTGTGTTTGCATACAACTTTATTTTCTCCTATTACTCAATAACACAACCCATCCTAATTCAAAAGGAAAGCTAAGGACATATTTTTCTGTTAATTCCCACATGCCACAGTTGTTCGGAATGTGATGAAAGTTGCAATGTAAAACTTATTATCTTAGAGCATAATTTAGTTGGTAAAACTGAGGAAATTTTTGTGGGGAAATGCAAAGGAAAATGACATTTAATATGCTCAGAACTGGGCATATTGGGACTCCTAATATCATTTGTTTAGAAGGCTAATTAGAAAAAAAAAAGATCTTTATATAATGTTTAAGACTTTCTAAAATCTGGCACCTTTAGTCTCCATCCATGGATTCCCAATGAGAAGCGTTTTTGTAATCAAATCAGTCTATTTGTTTCCCCAAATATATTCTTCTATTATTCCAATTACTTCAGATATTCATCAAACAATTTTTATTGAGTATCCATTAAACGCCAAGCACTCCTACCCTAAAAGAGGTCTCTCGCTCATCTCTATAGACAGAACCCTATTTCAAGATCTGGCTCAACAATGCGGTTCACCGCAGATCTTAGAATCTCTTCTTCTCTCAAGGTCTGCACTTGTTGCTGCTTGTCTATTTGACATTAGGTGCCAGTCATTCTGTTGTACTACTGGTCAGTTTTCATTAGTACCTTGGTAATCTACTAGCACTCTGGCTCAGCACCTCATGTGTGCTGTATACTCTGTATTCAGTATACATTTTGCACATGATGATCAAGAGTGGTCCCTAGAGAAGCTGTCCTTAAATAACCTTCATCTTTCCAAGTTCATCAGCAGTGGTTATAAGACCTGAAAGTTTTAAAATTATCTTGCAGACATCTGAATTCTACTACAGATTTTGTGACAAGTGGGTTCCTCATATTGCTGGAAACAGAGTTCCCTGCCAGGGGTTGGCACACACTGTACTTCTCACACAATGGAAGGTGAGAAGATCTGAGATCTTTGGAATGAAGCAGATGCAGATTAGTGCAATACTCAGTTGCAATCAAGTTTATGAGCCAATAAAAACGTGTGTGGTTTTTAGCAAACAGGAAGGAGTGGTTTTTCAGAAATGTGGGAGTTAGAATACACTTGCAATTATGGATAAAGTGGAAGTATAACCTGGGAAAGGACACATGGTAAGCTATAAACTATACATGCAATGATCTTCTAGGTATGAAAAACCATTTTCATTTCCTGTATGCATGACCTATATTGTCAACCTTGCTGATGAATTGTTAATGGGACACACATATCAAAGAGAATGCTCTATAGAAAACAAATATAACCTCTGAAACTCCTTTCTGATAATTATTATTCGTAAGAAAGCAAAATTGAACTTATTTGAGGGATCATTAGGAATTAAAAAGTAACTGCTCATAAATCACATAGTGTCATGCTGCTATGCACTAATTTTTTGGGGAAAAAAACAGTTCTGGCTTTATAGAAAATTACACTTCAAATGTTAATCAGAAATGTACTATATTTTCTCCAGTTTATGTTAGCTAACTTCTAAAGCTAATACTTTAAAATAAATATTTCCTTGCTGAACAAACTTAATTTGCTTCAGATTCATATTCATTGAGCCAGAAGAAGCCTGTTTTATGTCATGAGATCCTGGGACTCAGGAGAAATAAAAATGGCCAGTGATGACAGTCTTGATAAGACTATGTTCATTTTTTACTTTTAGAAGACCATACTTTTAAATCGTGACCATCACTGAAACGGACACATTTATCTTTGAGTCCTGCTCTGCCCTGAAATATTCTGTGAACACTGGGAACACATTTTCTTTGTTCTGATCCCAGCCCCTGAATGAGAGCCAAGTAGAGTGGGTTCCTCATAAATATGCGTTGACCACCTGCCTGGATATTCCTGTAGAGCTGTACTCCGATTAGCAAATGCTACCTGCAGGAAGCAGAGGAAATACAAATGGAGGTAAGATGCTATCATTTCTTTTCTTTCTTTCTTTTTTTTTTCCTTGAAGCTTGGGTTATGATCACTTCTCAGCTTGAACGCTGCAGATCTCTCACTTCAGGATCTAAATGGAGTTTAAATAAAAGGCTCCTACATGAAGTCCTCTTCCAGTGGGTGCCCGGAGAAAGAAAACAAGATGAAAGAAGAAGTAAAATACTTCTAACTTAGTTTATTCCGTTCTCTCCAGTTCAGCAGCTTACCAGAATCTATACAGAACCTTAATCCAAACTTGAATGTGAAATCAGGAACAAATAAAAAAATACTGTATTTATTGACGATTTAGTGGCATAAATCTTATTATATGAAATAAAAAGTAATAAGGTTGCAATAGTCTCAAAGATATGGGACACACAATTTAATATCTTTATGTATTTTATACCAAGATCCTACTCACCTTCTTGGATAAAACTACTGCGTCCAAATTTCTGCAGGTTTAACTAAAAGCAAAAACCTGAACAACACAAATGAACCACCTGCGCAATGATTTAGTTAACTTTAATTGCAATTTCAGAGCTTTATGAAGCTGCAGAGCATAAACTGGTGGGAAGTACCAGGCCCACATGCAGATGGGCCCAGAGGCACCCAGACCCCAGGGGCAGGAAGCGGATCAGCTCTAAAGACCTCAGGTCTCACTGCCTGTTGCTAGTGAGCAAGTGGGACTCAGAATGAGTTCAGCTGACGGTGCTGAGGGTAGGATTCCAACCAGACGGTAAACACGCAGTCCCTTTCCAGCTGGAGCAGGGACCTAAATCTGGTCATCGCAGACCCCTTCTCCAGTCTGCACACTCAAGACCCATCAACACCGCTTTCCAGAGGATGGGCGGCTCCTTTGCAATTAAAAGCCATAGGGTGCCGAGAGGGCATACATAAGCATGCTACCTCCACGACTCCTCTTCCCATCTGGCCAAGATTTGGGAGTGACGCAATGGCATGGATGGCCTTGATGGGGGACACGGAGAACGGACACCGCGGGAAGGATCGAGAGCTACCGGGCTTAGGAGACTGCAACTGTTCTCCCGCCCCCAGGAGTGGTACAGTCCGGGGCGGGGCGGGGCGGAGGAGTCTCTCCGTGGTCTCTCCCCGCCCCTTCCCGCCTCCGAGCCGGGCTGCGGCGGGAGCGAGTAAGCGCGCGTCCGTCAGATCCCTCCCCCGGCGCCGGCGACCGGGCTCCGCCCCTCGCCGAGCCGCCCCCTCCGCGGCTGCAGGGAGAGCTCGCCCAGCTTTGCGGACGCCGCCACCGTCGCCACCGTCGCCTCTTCCTGCTACTGCTGGCGTTCCCGGGCCGCTCCCGGTGGCGGCGCTGCCCTGGGTGGGCGGCGGGCCCGGGCGGCAGCTGAGCACCCGGCGCGGCGCATCCAGTTCTCCCGGCCGCGCGGCGCCGTGACAGGTGCAGAGTCTGGGCTGAAGTCTCACCTGCAGCCATCGCCGCGATGCCCACAATGCGGAGAACAGTGTCGGAGATTCGCTCTCGCGCTGAGGGTGAGTGACCACCGCAACGGGGGGGCTGTGCGCGGAGGAGGCGCGGAACCAGCCTGGGGCAGGGCTATGAGTGAGCGAGCGTGCACGCGTGAGTGTGTGTGTGTGTGTGTGTGTGTGTGTGTGTGTGTGTGTTTATGTTTATCCGGCCAGAAATACCTTGTCCCACCTCTTTCCCTTGACAGTCGCCAGACTGTCGCGCCCGGTCCCTAGCGGACCCTTCTCCCTGCCCTGCCTGCAGTGCTCTCACAAATCCTTTCCAGGGTCCAGACCCTCTGAATTGATACTGGGAGAGAGCCCCAAGGCTTGCTTTACACCGCAGCGTGACCATTAAGTCCAAGTCACCAAGCGCACTTGCTTGCCCAACTCGCCACTAGCCAGCGAACCTCCGGGTTCTTAGCTTCCTCCCCACCCTAAAGAACAGATCGCCAACCCGCCGCCCTCGCCTCCAGCGCCCACCTCTTAACAGCACCCACATCGCAGCTCCAGGGGAAGCGGATTTGCCCTTCACAAAGTGTAAGAGCTTTTGATCCATAGTCCCTTGCCTCTCTAGGCGCGAGGATTCTTAATTGGAGTTCGGTGCTTAGTAGGTGACGTGCATTACGATCTTTCATTCTGTCCTCTGCAGTGAAGTCTCACCTGGCTGAGTCTCTTGGCTGAGGTTTCGTTTTTGTTTTTCCTTATGCCTGAAAACTGCACTTTGGCCAGTTGAGCTGATTTGTAGACGATGTTTTCTTTGCTCCACCCAGGGCCAGCTGTTGAATGGCTACACTTGTCCACTTGTCGGTACTGAGCAACAGATGCCAAGGGTAGAGGCAAGGGAGGTTTGGTGGGCGAAGCACTCGTCATCCCAGCTGAGGAGCCTCAGCATCCTATCTGTCCTGTGGCAGCATTCAGTAAATATTCCTTGATTTTGATCAGGGCAAAGCCAAGACTACATATCCCGAGTTTTGTTTTTCATTGCCATAAACCTATAGTTGAACCCTGCAAAGAGGATAACGTGTTTTTGAGAACTGAGCTATCTTGTCACCATTACTGATTCTCACCCTTCCTCCCCACCCCCACTCTTCAATGTCAGGCTGGTCATAATAGTGGTTTTAGGAGAAAAAGAAATGTGTGTTTTACACACACACACAAACATACACACACGTGGGGTGGGTGGGGAGTCCAGGGATTTAAGGCAGGGCATTTTATTTTTCCTCTGTAATGTCCTCATTTGAAAATAGAGTTCCTGGGCTCTAATATCTAGGATTTTCTGATTTCAAGACTTAGGAAAATATTAAACTGCTCTGGGGAGAGAGCCACATAGAGTCAAAACTAACCTGTGTCCAACAGGAATTTAATACATACTTATTGTGATAGCAAAAAAAAAAAGTCACTTATAGGACGTTTCAGTTTTATACAGTTGAATAGATAATATTTCTTTTAAAATGTACACAGTAAATATGTACTCATTTTTACACTTCTAAATGAAGTTAATTTTGCTGATCACCCTTTGAACTGTAGAGGTGATAAAAATATAATATAATGGTGATAGTTGGTGTTTTCAAATAATAGCAATTGATGGATCAGATATTGTGGGGAATAGGAACAAGAAGTAAAAAAATCTAAAAGAAATGCAGAAAATCCTGTGGTACATGTGAGGATTTTATTAGCATTGAAGGCCTGCAGTGTTCTTTTTGATTGGCACATGTGTTTTACAAAACACTTTCACAGAGTTTATGGGATCTTACAATGCTCCTAGAGGTTGGCAAAGGTGGAGTACCATCTGCTAGTTGAGGAAATGATGGCTCAGAATGGTTTAGTAACTTGCCCAAGGTCAAGTGGCTAGTTTAGTGACACATTTGGTATACAGCTCTGGGAAAACAAGGGCTGCTTCTTACTTAATCTTTGTATTCCCTGTGCATCTAGCACAGTGTCAGGCGCATTGTGGTGCTTGGTGAATGACCCTTTCCTCCCATATTGGTTGATTTGCTCAGAACTGTGAGGACAAAGTAATAACTGTGTGGGCCAGCAGTGTGGATTGTTGTCTGCTCTTCCCACATCTTTCTTTCCTGAGCAATGTTCTCCTTCCATAGCTCCTGCTTCCTAAAGGGCCTTGCTCTGAACTGCAGTCCTTTGGGCCTCAGCTGATTGGATCAGGCTGGGCTCCTGACCCAAGGGCATCGAATCCATTGGTGACTCACACTTGTAACCTTGTGGTTTGGCTACAAAGATCCTGTGTGTTATTATATCTCTCTTGGGAAGTATTAAGGTTAGAAACTTTTATAGTGAAAATCAAAGCAGAAAGGGGCAGAGGCAAATAATCTGATGGGGGAGAATCTGATGACTGTAATAGGTCATGCTAATTCTGCTGAAATAAATAAACAAAACCCATGAATAGATAGGAAAGAAAATGGAAGAGATAGGAAAATGCAGATGCTGAGAGAAGGTGGCCAGACCTTGGACTTGAAGCCCTTCCTAAGTTTTCTATTCCCAGTTCTCAAGAAGTTTAAAAAAAAAAAAAAAATCTCTTTTTATCCCCCTTCTTGAAGTTACTTGAATGGGTTTCTGTTCCCTGAATCCAGATTGGCCAGATGCATGACTGTCTTGCCTGTAAGTTGTTTGTAACCAAATTGGAGAGATAGGACTGAAATGAAATAAGGAATAAATAGTCTAAGAGGGGCTGTTGTTAATTGAATATTGTGCTTGTTGTGGGTATTATCTGTCCTGTGCAAGATCAGGAATTTAGTACATGCTTATTCCTGAGCATGTGAATAATTCATTGAAGTATGATTTGATGAGTTCTCCTGCAGTGCTTTTCAAACTTTAAGGCATGTAGGAATCACCTGGGGATCTTGTTAAATAAAGGCTGATTTAGAAGGTCTGGGGTAGGGCTGGAGCTATTAGACTTCTGATAAGCTCACAGTTTATGCTGGAAGTTGCTGGTCTGCAGGTAACAGTCTTTAAAAGATTTTGCCATCTCTTGCAGTGCTTGGGAGGGCATTGAAGGTAAAGAGTAACGACATGAAAACAGCAAATGTGGCTTATTGTAGAGTTGTTAAGGAAATTAGCTAGGAACAAAAGGGAAACTTGGAAAGGAGTAGGATGTAAGTTTGGACAGGTAGAGCACTGCTAGATTACAGAGCATTTTGAATGCCAAGATGAGTCATTTGGATATAGAATCGAATATGTGAACAAGATCTTAGAGTTCATTAATCTAATTTGAGTATGACACTAATGCATAATAACTGACAGAGCCAGTCTGGAGCCAAATCCTTATAAGAGAGTGACATCCCAGGAGAAGCATCTTAGATAAACTAAGAAATGCTGTGGATGGGCTGGAAGGACACTCACTGAATAGGCTCTATTGCCAATAAAGTCTTAAAATAGCAAAGGTCAGGATTAGCACTGAAATGGAACAGTAAAAATGGGAAGGGAGGAATCAGATTTCTATCACTAAACTCGTTCCACAGGTACTTGGGACTTATCGGTGAGCACAGTGGTAGAAGCCTTGTCCTTGGTGGTGCTTCCTTTCTAGTGAGGCATGAGAAAAAGCAAACACAATAAATAAGCAAATGATAGTAAGTGCTACTGAGGAATAAAGAGAAGGTAAGAAGGTAAGGCCAGTGGATTTCAGTTCTCAGAGGGTTGGTCAGGCTACCCTTCATTGAACAGTTGAGGCAAGACAGTTAGCCTAGTGGGGACCTGGAGGAAGGGTGAGGGAACAGGCAGAGGTAAGGGTCAGACAGAGGCTTCAAGGCAGGAGAGTCTGGAATGTCAAAGGAACAGGGAGGGCGAGAATAGTAGGAAATGAGCCACATGGTGGGACTTAGCTGTATAGAATAAGAGGCAGTTGGATTTTTTTTTTTTTTTTAAAAGCAATTCTCTCAAGCAGTAATTTTGAGTTCTAATGTTTATAATATTCCATGTCTTTAAACCTCATTAAAATGCAGTTTCTTTGGCTGCTTTATGAAGATTCTATTGAGTAGACCTGAGGTGGGCCTGGGGAACTGCAAAACAAATGAGCCCCCTTGGATATTCTGGAGCTGGTTCAACTCTTCTTTACAGTCTTGAGCCAACTGGTTGAGAAAAATTCCAACATCCCCACCTCCCACCCCCAATTCACCACATACCACACATTCTGACTATTGAACCTAGGGCCTTGTGTATGCTAAGCAAGTGCTACATCCCTGATTGAGATAATCTCTTACAAGATAAGGAAGTTGAGAAAGTGGGCCAATACCTTAAGAGAAGATCAAATTTTAATGAAATTGTAAGACATCCAAATTGACAGGCTTTAAAGCTACTTAGGAATTTTGAAGTCAGATGTGGGAAAAAAAATCATCTTTGGAATCTTGAATTCAGAGATAACACTTGAAACCCAGTCAGTATATAAGTTTGCCCGAAAGCAAGAGTAAAAACCTAAGGTTAAGATTTTAGGTCTCTTCTACCCTGGCTAAATTAAATGGATATCTAAACACAACATCAGTAATCTAGAAACAGGGACTGAAATAAAGGTAGCTTATACACAAACTCATGAGGGATATTGGCTCCTTATTCCTTTTTGCTTCACCATTCTGAGCAGATGACTTCCATAAAGTCACAACAAAATTGCTGGGTGCCAGCCATCTTGTAGAAGTTCCAGGCAGGAAAAAAATGGAAGGGTTGTCCTGAAAAATGCCATACAGAGAATAATGCTTATTTTTGCATTGGCTCCCATCTTCAAGAGAAGCTGGGAAGTGTAGTTTTCCAGCACAGCACATTACTCAGCAGTGCATTACTAAAGGAAAAAGAGAAACCAGTTAAAGGGTAGGCAACAGGCTCAGTCACACCAGGTATTCAGATTGCCAAAAAGTCTTGCTTGAATAAAACAGGAACTGTTTTTAGAGCTTGTGCTTAACAAAATTACAAGCATTAAGTTGTTCAGAACTAAAGAAATGTACTCAGAAAAACACATACCCATCCAATGGTTTGCATTTTCTTCTGCTGAATATGATAATGATAAAATGGAAGGCTGTTCC